GTGTGTGTGTGTGTGTGTGTGTGTGTGTGTGTGTGTGTGTGTGTGTGTGTGTGTGTGTGTGTGTATATATATATATATATATATATATATATACTGTCTATAGAGGTCTATATATTTTTCTCGGGCGTCAAACGTGTACGAACAGTCCAAATTTGTCGAGATTTAGGTTTTGTTTAATATATTATAATGTTGCCAAGTGTTTTGATGTACACCATTATATTGGAATTGACATCCACAAACACGCTCAATAAAAAACCTTAAATAATCGCTGCAAAAGCTGACTCTTGATGATGCACATCTCACTCGCACCATGTATAGTTGAAGGCAATGTTCAAATCTCGTTCCGATGTGGATTGCGAAAAGACCAAAGTAGAATTGCAGGTACGCGGGATGATGGTCTATATAAAATAATTTGGTGTGTGTACCGGCGCCGTGTGTATATTTGATCTTATTTCCATAGCATATGTGTATATGTATGTATATAGTGTGTGTATACATGAGGCGTGTGTGAATGGATATTTTCTTACTTCATTTGTACATAGGCATCTGTATAAATACTCACGTGATTGGATGTGTATGGTTGGTGGATTTGTAGATCTGAGCAATTCAATAAGGCTATGTATAGGTGTATATGTATGTGGCTTTGGCTGTGTGTATTTTACACACAGGCTTCAGTTTGGGGTTGTCCATTGTAACTATTCATGTATATATAGTTAATAGGTTCCATGCATATGCTTGAATACATTGATTAATGTGCAATTATATATTCCCGGTGTATGTATATGAATAAGTATACATATACCTATATTCTTATACATATACTGTTACAAGTATATGTTTCACGTTCTTAGTACGATAAGCTATAACATGTGCATATGATATTGGTTCGCCGATACATTCCTCGTAGATATATCTCGTCGAACACTTCACATAGAGCTTAATTCCAATCAGATTTATTTTTTTGCTCTTTTATCACCCATATTGACGTGTTGATCAACTTCTGTCTCATCAGAACGAGTACAAAGAAGTGGGTCATGAATATATACTTTGCAATCTGGGACATTTTGACTGTATTTGTATAATGTTCCATGGCGCTTGATTGGTAAGTCCGGTCTATCACTATGATTTAATTTGCAAGAAAGCGATGTCTACTTCTAGGCAGGCTCAACCGGATGATCATGAGTTAAATATTGATTAGCATACTATCGGTAATAAAGCATGGATTATGGCAGATTGTCCATTGATTATTGTCATTCTTGCATATGACATTAAATATCAGAACAGGTGTGAACTTTGATTAGTAATATAATCACAGTGGCCAGCGGAATCACTTCATGTTCATTCATTATGTATATATGCGTGGATTTGGATGTGTATGCATTTATGATACTCGAATGTGCTACATGTTCTAAATGTGCTGAGAACACAGTGCGCGATTTAGTTTCAACGCAAACAAACTTTCTTGCTTTGTGGGGTTGTATCACATGCCCTTAATTTTCCAATCAAATATTCCGTCTCGCTATATTTACTTATATTTCAAACAACTTGAACTAGGGCAAAATCGACGATCTGAACACGGTACAAAACGATCGCAACGAACTCGAACGCCTTGAGAATAGACTGCCCGAGTTGCAGTCAGAGTTAGATACCCAGGAAGCCTCGGTAGAAAGTGCGGATGTGAAAGTCGACACTGCTACCAACAAAGATGACAAGTTGCAGACCGAAGTGGAGAACCTTGAAGAGGCTACTCGAGTAAGATATATACATGTGTACAGTATATATATACTATACATGTGTATAGTATATTGGTAAATGTATGTGTATACACGTACGGGTGAAAACATGTGTATGCTGTTTGCATCTGCAGACGTGTGCCGTCGATAGTCACGTGTGAAGATAAAACATTCCAGACGTGTGCCGTTGATAGTCACGTGTGAAGACAAAACATTGCAGACTTAAGTGGAGGCCCTTGACGAGGCTACTCAAATAGATGTATATGTGTATTGAATTCCCTAAGAATGACGAATGCTTTGTCAGAGTTACAAGGCAGATGTACGCTCTTTACCTACATACATGACATAACTATTCATGTCTTGAATCGCATCTACAATAGCAGTAAATGCCAGATTGCTAAGAACTTATTGACGGTAAAAGAAACTCTTGGTGAGATATTCGAATGTCGAATTGTATCTACAATACCAGATGGCAACTACGAATCTGAACAATTGGTGATAGCAATGGAAAGTCCAGATATCTATTTAACTATTAGTTTGCACATGCAGTGTCAGATTGCCAAGCAATCGATGACAACAAGAGAAAGTTCGTATAAATTATATTCAGATTCAATTTGTGCCTATAATATCAGATCACCAGGCAATTAATATCAACAATGGAAAACCTGTATCAGATATATGTATATCTATTTTGTACCTACAATGCCAGATTGCCAAGCAATTGGTGACGGCAATGGAAAGCCTGGAAAAGATCAACAAGGAGAAGGTGGTTGAGAGTAGCAAAGTGCGTGGCCCCGGAACAACGGTACTAAGCATCGATGAACTGAATGCTATATTGGAAAGCGAGGCTGAGAAGAAGTATGACTGAGTCTCGTGTGTGTGTGGTTTATGTCTATGTCAGTGCTTGTGGCGTTGTGTACAAGTACCTGTGCACCTGTGCGTAAATTATAATCAGGTATACATATTTTGGTGGTGTGTGGCCCCGGTATGTCGGCATCGACTATCAATGAATAACACGCATGTTAAAGAATATATTGCTGAATACATCTACTTATTTGTGTATTCAATATTTATAGGTTTGTCTCTGTGTACATGTTGAGTTGGTACCAAGTCCCGACCCAGAAAGTGCATCTACATCAAGTTGCATATGTATACATATCGCTATTGTGAGTCTTCCCGTGTTATATTGAACCGTCTACCTTTCACACACGTCGAAGAAGCCTCTACATCAAGTTATATGCATACTTATATATATATATATTTATATATATATATATCCAAAAGTTTGAGTCTCAGAACGGTACTCAACCTGCCTACCTTCAACCCCAGGAAAAGCAACGATGCCAAGCTCAGAGAAATCGACCAGCAAATGTTTGCCTACGAAAGGGAGGTCAGTGCGCTCGACACGAAGATTATGCAGGTATGTGAGCGTATGCACAGGAGCATGTGTATATGTACCTGTGTATCGGCAACTGTGTATGTGTGTGTATATATGCAAACATGTATATGTACCTGTGTACATGTATATGTGTATCTGTATTTGTATATAAATAAGTGTGTATATACAGTGTGTATATGACTGAGTATATTTATATCGGTGACCACGTTTGCATTTATGTGTGCCAGTGGACTGGATACAAAGATTCTGCAGGTATATGAATGTACACCGTGATGTGTATATATAAGTGTGTATATGTATGTACGTGTATATGTATAATGTATATATCCATACCTGAGTTTGCGTGGGTTTGTATGCGCGTGGGTGTGTGTGTGTGTATCACCGACTTTTCTTCTTTGGCCTTTGTTCCCCATATCAAACCAGGTCGGAGTTATTCAAATTGAAAACAGTTCGCACATTTCTCGTAACAGAAAAAGAGGTGTTGCCCATAAGTTTGTACGCAATTATATGATGTTTTTTCTCTATCGCTGGTTCCTTTCAGATACCACTTCAGAAATCGATTATATATTGTATTCTTCCAACCGTTGAATTTCTGTCGAATACAATTTTAATCTCATTTTTTTATATTTGATAACTTCTGTCGCTGTGTTCTAGAATATAGCAACCAAAGGCGATTCACAATTCCCATTCGGTCTGTTTTCTCATACAATTTACAATTGCTGTGCACAAATACTATACGCAATTGACAGGCTACGCATGAGGTGCAGCAGATCAAAGCGACTGTGTCCAAACGAGAAGACTTGGAGAAGCGCCGAATAGATTTACAGGCAGAAATGGATGAGCACGAGGTTACCATATCGGTATGGCGGTGTGTGTTTGCTTGGAGGGCGTGTGTGGGGTTCTAATCGGATTGTTGTGTGTGTCTAAATGTGAGGACTTGGAGCAACGCCAGTCTTATTTGAAGGCAGTGATGGTTGAGCACGACACCGCGATATGGGTATGGAGTTGTGTGTCTATTGGTTGTGCCTATGTATGTGTTTGTTGGGTGTGCGTATGTGTATGTTCGATGTGTGTGCGTTCGTAGGTGCGTATATTTTTGTGCGTGTTTGTTTGTGAATGTATGTGTTTGTGTGTGTGTGTGCTTGCTGGGTGTGCTTGTGTGTCTGTATAGTGGGAAAATGTATTGCATGTAGCCAACCGAAAGGACTTGGAGAATCGCGGAACACCTCTACAAGCAGTGATGAAGTAAACAAGTCTGCCATATCAGTTGTACATACCTTATTTCACATACATGCATATGGCTAGTCATCGCACTCAGCAACTAGTCACAGGCACACATAGCTGACATTCGTAGTTACACGCAGATAATAATCATACGTATCATTCCCGTACGCAACAACTCATCACAAGCACACATCTACAGAATTGATTGAAATGGAAAGGACTACTTGTACCACCGAATATATGTTTGTAAGCACATATCCACATATGCTATAGACGTACGACTAATATCAGTACGCAGCCACTTTCAATAAAGACACTTCCGCATCACTAAATGTTTGTCGCTAATTACCGTGCCCAACAACCCGCGCAAGCAAATGTCCACACACCTATTAGGCAAATGTATACTGTTCGTATACAATAGCTTTACAAAAGTACATAGGCGCACAGTTAAAAGATAGGTACATGGCTAATTCTATCACCTAGCCTTATCTATAGCACATATACGCATATATTGTAGACGTATGTATAATTACCGTACACAACAACTCTGCATAGGTCCATAGTCACATAATTAACAAACATATACATGGCTAGTTGCACTAGCAGCGTTCTCCATTGGCATATATACGCGCATATAATTGATATATGTATATTTCCCTTGCACGAAAGCTCTACATATGCTCACAGCTACACATACAATAAACATGTGTACAAATTCCGTATACGGTATATATTTATAAGCTTATACGTACACAGATAATAAGCATGTATATAACGTGCTTTTACACAGACCGCCATGGTTTCTGTGAGACCCCTAGAGGACCAAATCACAAAACTCAAAGCCGACACAACACGCGCGACCAAAGAACTACAACGAATGTCGTCGATCGCCGAGCAGGGCTACCAGGAGATGTGCAGACAAGCAGATCGATACCAGGAGGTTATAACGCAATTGCAGAGGTATGGTATGCATGCCCAGAGCTGTGTGTGTATTTGTACTAGCGTATTGTATATGCATGTTTGTAGATGTATATTGAGCACACGTATGTGTATCGTAGGGGTACGAACTATTGAATGATGCGCGAGTGCTGTCAAGGGCTGAACCGGATTAATTGGAGATGTACAAACAGGCTGGTAAATACAAGGGAGTGGTCACACAATTCCATGGATTTGTTCTTTGTCTGTATAGGTGTGTATGTGTTTGCTCCCTACGTAGCTGCATGCTGTGTATGTGTATATTTGTGTAGAATATATTTTTATATATATTTGCATAGATATAGCCTTTTTCTTTTTGGGTACCGGAAAGTATAGTTTTTCTGTATACGTAGATGTGCTTTGTTTATGTATTTGGTTGTATTGAATTTTTATTTTATATATGTGAGTGATTTGAAGACATGCAGGCCATTACCAGTGTATAGCCATGCAGCTGCAAATAAATGGTGTGTTTATGTGTATCGATGTGTTGATATATGTGGTGTTTGTATGTAGACGTTTAGACTATGTACATTGTGTTAACGTGTATAGACATATGCCTGTAAGTGTTATGATGTACAGACATATGTCTGTAAGTGTTAAGGTGTAAAAAGTGTATGTCTGTATGTGTTAAGATGTATCATATCTGTATGTGTTCAGATATGTCAGTAAGTGCTAAGATGTGTAATGGTATGTTGTATATGTATGTGGGTGATGCGCGGACAGGCCGACCGATACCAGGGCAATCGCGCAGTGACTAAAGCATAACTTTTTATCTGTACAGATGTGTATATACATGTTGTATACGCTGCTGCAAAGGTTGTTGTGTTTGTTTACCGATGTGCGATTCTATGCTGTATTTAACAGCTACGGAGGTATGGGATGTGGGAGAAGAAATGTCTGGAAGCATGTCCTAATATGCGCGTGTTTGTATACATGCATGCATACGGTTGTCTATATATACTCATGCGTATGAGGGAAATCGCCAAGCAAAAAAAGACAGATGCCAGCAAGTTGTCACTGTGCGGTTGCATTGAAATTATACAGGCGTATTACGTATTAACTACCCGTATATTTTTTTAGTTGAGCTGAGAGTAAGAAATTGAAATTGATTTCTAGATTTTTACACAAAAGTATATCTTGGGTACTCGATGTGTGCCAATTTGTTGCGAAGCCGCCGACTCGTGTCTGTAGCTTTGACACGCAGAACTAATGGGTTACCTTGGTTAGGACAACAAGGGCCCATATCTACCGAATTACGGACAGGTTCAACCTCACGAACAGTGCAAGTGTCTTTTATTGTGGCTACAATACTAGTTGTTTGCCCAAAGTCACTCGTTATACCCATCCCTTGATGTCAACTCTTTTACTTTATATGTAATTGTTTGACTACCTATCTCTGATTCTCTTTTTCTCTTAGATTCGATGCAGCGAAGAACAGCCAACTAGTCGAAATCAACAGACAGGCAACAATACAGGTGTGTGTTCGAAAATCGACTACGTACTAGCTACAATTCTCGACCAGTTTGATTCTGAACGCTCGGAGTATAGTGTGCTTATATATGCACGATCTGCAATCTGTATTTGTGCGCTATCTAAGTATATGTGTTGCGAAATATGCTGCTACATATCTTGTCACATATTTTGACGCAGGTTGTAAGCTACTATCTGACGAATCATCCCACGGTATATATATATATGTGTGTGTGTGTATATATATATATATATGTATATATATATATGTATATATGTGTGTTTGTGTGTGTGTGTGTGTATATGTATATATAT